CACACGGTCCCTGTCTGTCACATTATCTTTATGACGACTGTAAAACTTGCAGTTTCATTCAGAGGAGCGAGTGACTGATCTGTTCCTGTATGACCCCCCCCCTCCCCCCCACTAAATACTTTTATAATGCAAACACAATTTTTGTTTGTCCCCCTATGTATACAGTTTACAGTTCTGTTTTTACTCAGACCTGACGTCATGTTGCGCTGCATATTGAGCAAAAACATCCTGAGCCCGGACCTCAGGGACAAATGACTTCAGCACAGCAAACAGGTAAAATGAGTCACGGATACCGGAGCGTCTAAGGCGGGAAACAATTAGGCTTTAATTTTAGTTTTATAATTATCAGACTGTATTGTTTTTCATTTAACATGCATTGAAGCTACTGACTTGCTGGATTGGATTTGATGCAATGCTTGGAGGATTCAGGTTGCTTAATTTGTCTTTGCTGTTTTATCTTTAACGTAATGTTCTAACCTGACACTGACCTGACCTTGTCTTATAACAGATAATATACGGCTGATATTGCAAGAGTGTAAAAGGACACATTATTTGCAGACGGTGTAAGAACTGTGCGGCACAGATGGGTGGCGGTGCTTTATGGGAACTATGAGCGAGGTCGGAATGCGTCTTCGACCAATCGCAGAGCCGCGGCCGAGGCTCCCTGTTGCAGGATAATCAATCTGGATCATCAAAGCGCTCTGCAGCGTATCACAGCGCTGCCAGGGCCCATAAAATGTAACATGCATGCGATCGTAAAGTTGAAGTACTCTGCAGAGAAAGGACAGAACCTGGCAGTGTCTATCTCTGCAGACTGGCAAAAGCCACCGTGATGCCAAGGAAGAAATCCAGTCACCGGGCAAACGCCTCAACTTCTTCAAGCTAAAAGCTCTCAATTCAATAAAAAAATAAAAAAAGCAGGCACACATGTGTTCTACAGTGAGTGCCAAAGCTGCTGCCATAGAAACCAAAAGACGGCACTCAGCGCCCGCGTGTCCAAGTGGAGCTTTTGTCCTCCAGACAAGCTTTCATAAAACACAGGCTGGCACCCAAAAACAGATCACAGGCTTTCTGCTGCCGAGTCTGTTAAAGACAAAAAGTATCAACAGGCTTTCATGAGCTTTGCTTCTTTAGGTCCAAGACTGAAATGATTTAGGAGTCACTCCTACCAAATGGTTTAACAAAGACAGAGGAATTAGATGTGTTCAGCTGAGTACCAGTGTTCACTCCGCTCTATGTTTCTTGGAATAAAACAATTCCATTGGCCAGGTCACTCTGATCTTTTAACTCAGTGAGGCTGTATCTGGTTATATAATGATTTCAATGGATATGGTCAATAAGAAAAAACAGACATGAAGTGAGAAATCACAATCACAAGGAGCTCAGGAGGATATTCATCTGGCTTGTTCAGTCAAAGTCCCCAAAACAAAAATATGATGATATATTCTCTCCCAGTACACATTTACTAACACTTCAGCAGATCTTATTATTTAAGAAGCTAGAGCAAGTGTGTTTTTTTATTTATTAAATGTTGACATTAAATATATTAATCTCTGTGTAATAATCTGTTTCATAAGATATATGACACAAAATCCTGCTTTTACAAACATGTAATAATCTTTAGACTCATGATGAGCCCAGAGAAATGTTTCCCCTTAGAGAGAAGCTCAAACATCCAAATGACAACCAATCAAAATTGACGAAAAATGAGGTGCAACACGTCTAGACCATGACATAACTGACTGCTTTAGCTCTACAAAAAGAACTTTTGTAACTCCAGAGTGCAGCAGCAAGAACAACACTGACAGATGCTCATTTTATTTGACCAGATATCTAAAAGACGCACCACGCTCCATTACTGCCCCCCAGAGGCCTGCCAGTGAAATGACATCACCCTTTCCACATTCACAGCCGATACAACTGACAAGTCACTACGTGCAGTGTGGCTACAGAGACATGCTTTGGTAAAACTCTGTGACAACACTCACAGTGCTGGTTGTGTTATGGCACAAACAAAAGAAAGCTAAACCTCTCCACTCAACAACAGGAGGTCAGATAGTGTATGACTACAACTCCGCTGCCCCAGCAACCCCCTCTGTTTACGTCTCTCTGCTTGGTGACTAACACTAATGACGTCTCGCACAGATGGAAGGGCAAATTATTGAACCCGGCCTCTACCTGTTTCCTTGCCCAAAGCATTGATGACATCAACATTAGTCTGTTTACCATGTGTGCACGTGCACAAACTCACCTGCAAGAGGATCTAAACTAGCCTCAGGCGGGGGTTTAACGAGCACGGATATGTTACAGGCAAGCAATACAGTCTGTAAACTCATGAGCTAACGTGTGTCTGAGCTGATACAATGTCAAACCAACCAATGATCAGCGATGTCAACACTTTTTAACTGTTACAATCAGCGAATGCATCACGTAAGAGAGAGAAACAGACATGCCATGAAGTAAAACTAACAGGTTATCTTTGCACATGTTTGTTCTTTACTGTTCTCTGTGAAGAACCTGATCATGTGCGCGTCAGGGGGACTCACACTTCTGATGCAAAGTCTTATTTTAGCCATCAGTTTTATGATTGACAAATTCATCAATACTACATAGGAGATCTAGTTTGCTCACATAAGATGCACAAGACAGCACCGGGTATAAACAGGGAGGTTTTGAAAGCGTATTACTGTTTTTTGTTTTGTGAATTCTCCAGAATGCGATTGAACAGTCATCACACCTGTTGACATATTATTACTCAAGAAAAGAACATTCATCTTCTTTTTTTTTTTTTTAATTATTTTGGGCTTTTTGTGCTTATTTGATAGGACGATGGACAGAGTAGAAAACCAGGGAGAGAGAGAGAGAGAGGGGAATGACACGCAAGAAAGGAGCCACAGAATTACGTATAGGCTAAGAAACAGAGAAGATGAATTCATGTGTTCCTGGAGTAAATGGATAAAGGAAACAGATAAAGTGGAATAATAACAGGTATATTAAATTAAGAGAGTAGTGAAGGAACAACCCCCCCTCCCCCTGCCCCATTCTATTTATGGTTTTATTTTAATTTTATTATTAATTTTTTTTCTTATTTTATCTTTTTTTTAAATCTTAATTTAATTATCTTTTCTCTCTTCGTACATTTTCTTTGGATTTTTATCTTTCTATTTCTTTATCTTTTTATTCATGTTGTATTCTTGTATGTTTAAAAAAAAATATATATATATATATATATATATATATACACATATATATATATATATATATATATATATATATATAAATGTGCCAGGATGAACAAAATTTGTGATGAAATATGACAACTTGTAATGAAGTAAAACAGCCTGCAATAAAGTATTTAAAAAAAAGAAAAAAAAGAAAGGAGCCACAGGTCAGACTTGAACCTGGGCAGCCTGCTTAGTGGACTATAGCCTCTGTACAAGGGGTGCGACCTACCCTCTAGGCCATCTGCGCCCCATTCATCTATTAAGTGGATTTTTTTGGTGATCCATCTACCCGCACTTGCTCGCGCGTCCTCCAAAGCAGTAAACGTTTTAGCAGCAACTTTGAATCATCACTATGATGATTCAAAGTTGAGTTACTCTTCAACATTTCACAATAAAATACACCAGTTACAATTAAAAGTGTTCATATATAATGATGTGTTGAACAGAAACCACAGCTCAGACTGTGGCAGCATTTTGTCTCGTTCATTTTCAAACACAAGGCTGTAATAGGGGGGGGGGATTGTTCTTGTTGATTTTAAAAGACGTGGATGAGGATATGACTAACAATAAGCTTTACTGCGGCAGAGGAAACAATGCAGTTCCTTTATGATCCACGTCCTTTGATCGTTAGCGTTGTACATGTAGCTTTAGCCACAGTCTTAAACCAACAGTGCATATGTAATAAAGCCCTTGCCTGCATCTTTAATGACCTTTTAAAGAGTTCAACCATCAAAAGTCAGCCATTGGTCTTTGGCTGTATCCAAATCATGGAGCTAAAGCTAGCTAATATAGCTAGCCACAGGAGATAAAAAACGGCTAACTGTCGTGACAGGTCAACAGCCAGAGAAGAGAAGCCTTATTTTGTCTGAATTTGAAGCCCTGTTGTCGAAATTTTGGGTTAAATCTGCAGCAATTATTTGTGTGGAGTGACTATGTGCGAGACAGCCGTAACCAAGGAGGGCATGACAATAAATAACTGACAATTGTCACTAATTTAATAGCATATTTAAAAAACCTTAGATACAACTAACTTGTTAGCTGCAGCTCGGGTGATTAAGAATTGTCAGTGTGTCTCAACGCTAAATAATCATCTTTGAGACTCCAGACTCATAGAGGGATTTTTTAACAAGGTCCTTGTATGCCACAGCATGAACCTGATGACCGTCTGCTCTATTTCCATGGCCTGTGTTTGGCAGCCTGCTGGATCGGGTCCCTGCAGTCGGCCTCTCAACATCTTTCGTCGGTAATATAAAAACACTTCCTCTGGCTGCAGGAAGTGTTGAAGTGGCACATAGTGTTCTTGATTGAACTCATCATTATATGAGATTCAGGGGATCAGTCTGCAGCACAGCACAGGGCAGGCTGGCAGGCACGTACATGAATGTGCACACACAAAACACACACACACACACACACACACACAGAGGCAGCAGAACACCGAGAAGGAAATCCAAAAATACATTCCCAGGGTTCCACTGGACAGACAAAGGGGATGCAAAACAATGAGATCATGATGGGATTATCATGAGATACGACACAAGGCCTCATGGGAGTGAAGGAAGAGGAGGTGAGGTTATGGAAAAGAGAAAAAGGTGTGTCAAAGCAGTGCGAGTCACTGGGTGTGTCCGTGTCTGTGTGTGTGTGTGTGTGTGTGTGTGTGTGTGTGTGTGTGTGTGTGTGTGTGTGTGTGTGGTTTATAGAGGGATGATGTGTGTTGGTTTGATGAGTCTGAGCTGGAGCATCACGTGAAGTTTAATTACTGATTTAATTACTCACCAACAGATCTATGCTTTCTTTGCGTCCCAGTGATCCGTGCTCCACCTTCTCAGTGCCCGGGTTGAGGATGTAGGGGCTCTGACCCGCTGACGGCTTCATGTTGGGCAGACTGAGAGACCGCATGTCCTTCACACTCTGCTCCACCTTCAGCTCATCACCTGCCCGTGCTACACGGAGATAAGAGAAGAAAAAAAAAGATGTTGAGCTGTCTTGCAAAGAGAATGTTTTAAGAATGAAATGAGTTGGTGAGTCCCTGTGACTTCTTCACTGTGAACCAAAGTCTTTATGAATCATGCAATCTCTTGTTGACACAAAAAAAAAAAAATGCTGTTTATTTGAAATACCAAAAGGGAAAATAATTGTCATCATCCTTTTGGAAGTCCCTTAACCCTTCACCCACAGGGGTAAACAGGTGTGGACTGTATAACCTCCGTCTGGTTCTATGTAACTCCAGACTGCGGTCAGGAGGTGCCAGTTTGGAGGCTGACACTTTCAAGAGAATAGTGATTAGTCACGACACAGGATCTCTTTTATGGAAGGTCTGAAAGGCCCTTTGATCCAGAAACATAAACAGTTTCCACTGAAGCATTATGGGAGGAAAAAGCAGGCAGACGTGCTACTGACGTGTTTCTAAGATTCATGGGAATCTTTGAAGCACATGTTACAGTTTCACTTGTGGTTCTGATAACTTTTAATAATCACACCGTCCACTTTTTTTCCCTCCTGCTCTGAGACACGGGAGGCGTGAGAGGAAACTGTCCTGTTCAGTCATTGTTAGACGAACACTGATAAGAGTATCATGACGTCTAACACGCACCACGCCTGTAAAGTCACAAGACAATGAGGGCTACAATCATCATGATCAACACTTCTACAGCTGCTAGAACTATTTCTTAAATATTTGTTTGCTCTCAGTCCTCTCACACATTTAAAACTAAGCTGTCTTAGTTTCTTCACAGTGGGCTGTTTTGAAACACTGTAAACTGTATGTGTGGATATCAGTCAAATGAAACAAAGGTAGCGCTGTGGATCCACCTGATATTATAGAAAACAATAGAATAGAATAGAATTACTTTATTGATCCCAAACTGGGAAATTGTGGATATATTGGTTGAACAGAGGACATTTTTAGAAGCATAAGTATGACTGTATTGGTCAAGAGGTAAGCTAAATATTGACAGCAACAAGAAAATTGTTTTGTGTTCAGGTAAGTTTAAAATAGCTCTCTAGCCCTTTGTTAAAGTGCAACTCTGCTACAGCGCCGTAAGGAATCTCTGCTGTCATCACGCCGCAACACATTCATATTTCTTTTACACTTTAAAACAATTTGATTCAATTTTCTTTTGAACAGATTAAATGTTGCAGTCGTTTCTGACCACTTCAACATCTCACACTTGACTGTTCCTGCTTAAAGTTAAAACATATAAGCAACATACAAGCCAAAGCCCACAGAAAGAAACAAAAAGGGAATCTTTTGAGCTGATGTTGTGCTCGTGTTTGTGAACGGAGAGCTTCAGTGGAGTTTATAATGCATGTTCTAGTTATTGTTAACAACTGTCAGACAAGAGTTTTCTATGCCTGACGTGTCACTGTTCAGATCTGGCAGGTCTCTTTCTGGTAAATTACAGAAACATTTTTTGTCTGCAGCAGAAATCAGACTGTAGTTATAAATCAGGCCACTCGTTGGTATCCCTCCATATTTAATGAAGCTTCAGTTTGAAGCCTAAAAAGAGGCCACCAGTCGGTAATGGATGTCCCTTAATGATGCAGACAGGGAGGAAGAAGGGGCTGATTCTGTGCAGAAAAGTCCTGTGTGGGCCACACGTGTTGTCCTCACCTTTGACTTTGAGGTAGTGTCCTCCGAAACGGTAGGCCTCGAAATTGAGGGACAGCGGCGTGTTGGACTGATCCAGGAACAAGTCGACCCGGGACAGCTCGATGCCGTTCCTCTCAAACACCGGACCCAGCACCTCTCTACAAACATTCACACGCAACACAAAATCTTTAGAGACAACACACTTCAAACTACCTACAAGACATTCCTGCATGGCTGCTCTCTTACCTCAGTGTTTTCTTTTTCATTGCAGGTACAATTTCTGTGTTTATGTCCACGTTGAGATCGAACTTGAGGCTGAAGCACTCCTTGCTGGGGTCCTGCAGGGGGGGGAAAAAACACCCACTGTTAGTTTACACAGGTGGAGCTGCTCGCGCTGTATGTGAGCTCTCAGAGGATCCACAGGGGGGCTCCTTCTGACTACACAGAGCATCATCTTTGATCTCTGTTGCACAGAATAAAGGTTGCTGCTGTCATATGCATGTGTCTGCTTGTTTTGTACACATAAAAGATGCTTCTACATTTAACAGCAGAGATCAGTAGAGTCTTTCAGGGAACAGAAATGAAACTGTAGTATCATGGGTGTTAATGTTGCACGATGCAGCCCACGTGTCTGTCTGATTACTTACATCAGTGTGTCGTCTCCGTGGCTTCTTTTTCACCAACTTCATCCCCCCTGTTTTACGCTCCCTAAAACATTTATACACACATCATCATCACACCTCTGACACTCTGAGACTTAACATATGAGAAACAGCCTGCTTTAAAGTTACTTTTACCACTTTATGCGATCAAAATCTGTCAGAAGACATACAGTACATTTCAGGGCTGCAACTTATGCTCAGCAAGAGAAGAGCTCTAAGGACAGGCATGGCTACAAGAACAGTAGGGATGGAATCACAGAGGGGGTTACCCACCCACGGTCGTTGCTCCCCTCATCCTCTTCCTCCAGGTCGGAGGGGGGGCTGGTGCGCGGGGGACAGGAGCGCGTGGACACGTTTCGAGCCAGGATGGAGGCTAAAGGTCACAAAAACACAGCAGTCATTCCTTCTGTTGGATCACAGCTAAGGCAAACTTTTATTGAAGATTTCAATTGGTCAGGTCAGCCAAATTAAGACAGAATGTTTATTCTTACAGGTTTTGAGACTTCTGCATTCACCCGATCTAAAAATACATGTATTTACATGAATCAGTTGATAAATAAACCTCCTTAACGACTTTCAGAAACATAAGAAAAAGAGGTTCTGTGTAACTCCTGAACTTGCCCTGGAAGTGCTTCATTTTTAGGATTTCTTAGGTATATAAACAACCCATTGATTGTTTTCTATAAATTCATGAGTACAATGCAAAAAAAAGCTGCTAAAAGCCAACTTGGCATATTTTTCTTTCAGCTAATTTCCAAAACATAGATTGAAATAAAAGGTAGTAGAGAGGAGTCAACTGTAGGCCCACAGCGTTGCTTAGAAAAGCTGCTCTGAATTGTTTTATCATCAACAGGGTAGAAAGCAGTTCCAGTAAGAAACGTTAACAGTGAGGTCTGTAGATCATCCATATTTTGTGAGGCCCTGAGTACCACTAAAGCTGCTGTGATTGATTTGATTCAGTTTGATTTGGGGGTGAAGGCAGAAATCTCGGAGATTATCGCCAGCTTGGTTCCAGAACTCTGAATTATTGTGCACATGTCGGATTTATGAAGCAATTTAAATGGGTTTTTGCATCGTGTTCCCACCGAGGGAGGTTTCTTCCCACTTAAAATTGTATGACAAAATCAGAGCTTTTGTGGCAGGAATCAGAGAGCCAACATCTTTCCTACCTTGCTCATTCCAAAAGTGACAGAAGAAAACTGCAAAAATGGCCACACACAGTCAACTTCAGTTCATTTCTTTGTTAAACCTGAAAATTGTGAATGAATCTCTCCCCACAATACTGACCCAACTACTGTAGCTAAAAATGAGCTGTATTGGGAAATACTTTTTTTTGGGGGGGGGGCTTTATCCCTTCAAAAACAGGGTGTGAAAGTGTGGAATGACATTTTGCAAAGTGCAGGGTTTGGAGTTGAACCCTGTCTTCCTGCTCGAAGGCGGTAGTCTTTGCACGATATAAGTGCTAAAATTCTTGCACTGCTGTGAATTATTTATCTAATGTCAGTCCATAAACTTAAAATCTTTCTCCTGGAGCACCACATCTTTTTCTCTACTTCTCATCTCCTAGTAGAAATACTTTTTAATAATCATACGTTTCCCAATAAATATAAGAAAGAAAATTTTGCTGTACAGATCTTCCTTATTTAGACACTGATGTTCACACAGTGAAATCCTGTGATGAGGTCATGGGTATGACATCACTGAGAGAGAAACAAAGAGTGGACAGTGAAATACCTTGAGGTTGTAAGTCAAATCGGGGGTGCCGGTCAAAGTGCATGTTGTCTGTGTTCTCTGAATGGAAGCGTGAGTCACATGACTCACACAGGTGAAGGGGGCTTTTGCTGTTCAGGTCTTGGCAGTCTGGGTGGTGGCACACCTAAAAGAGGAGACAGAGAGACGAAAATGATTACAATTATTTCGCAGCTGGAGGCTTTGCTGCTAATCATGTAGAAATGAGACATGGAAAGAATTAGTGTTAAAGGTGTTTCAAAATGCACAAAACTTATTTGATATATTTTTGAGTTGAGCTGAACACAACCAAGCCAAATGTTTCATCCAAGTTTTACCTGGAATTTACCGGCCGGCTCTCTTGTAAAGTTTCTGAACAAAGTCAGGATGAGCGGATGTGTGAACACAGCAGGAAATATTCAGGAAAACTCCCCACGAGTGAGCGAGCGTGGGTGATTGTATAAATATGTCCTGTCACTGCTGCGGTCACGTGCACGTATAATAAAGCTGCTTCATACTCTTTTCTGACAATAGCATGTTCAGTGTTTCCCCTACCATTATATTAGCGGAATAAGCACAATGATGCAACATTGATATAAAGGCAATAAATGTCTGTCACAACCTCCACCAAATGTGAACACAAAACTCAGGAGGACTTCAGGGGCAGAGTGTCCTGAAAGTTTGTAGAAAATTCAGGAGTTTCTGTGTGTAAAGTGCTAAACATTCAAATCTCTCCTTGAGTAAATAATAGCGATGCAACAAGGGCTATTATGGAGATTTTCAAAGTTGGCGTTTCCAACCCTGGTATCAGTATCAGAACAGCTCCAAACCAAGTCCCTGCATTACAGAAACATTTGAAAAGGCAGAGCCAAATAAAAAGGGCAAACCAGTCCCACACATTTAGAATAAACAGCTCCCTGCCTCTATTGTTTCTGCCGTCATTAAATGACCACAGAGTCTGCCACCAGCATTCCTGAGGTTTGAAGACTCCCACTTCTCCACCATCTGTCCCCCCCTCAGTGGGAGGACAACTAATTGACTTAAAGTTAGTTTTTTCACCTCGTGCGCTGACCGGAGACCAGCTTACCCTTACATAATCTAAATTCCTACCAAAGGGAATGAGGCAATGAAACGGCCTACAATGGTCTGCAGCCGAGGCGACAGGCGGCAGAAGGCTGCAGGATTACAATCCAGACAGATCCGACCCCCCCCCCCCCCCATTACCCACCCTTCTGCTCTCTCCCTCACCTCACCATGGGGCCGGGTGGCACCAGAGTGCCCTTCCACCACACCTCGCTCCACCCTCTTGTCGGCTCAGGAAGCGAGGATATAAGGGGAGATACAATGGAGGTCCCGCTAATGTACTTCCTGTCATTGTTTCCTTGTGCTCAGGAGGAGCAGTGTGCCTGTGCATGTGAGTAAATATGGGTGCTCAACGGGGGTTTGAGCACAAGCTAGGGAATGCAGCCTCCATGTAAACACAACAACTACAGATATGCAAGAAGTAGACGCCACCCCCTGACAAAACACTGCTATACAAGCTCATTTTCAGTAGATATATTGGTGCAAACCATGCATATGCAGTGTCACATGTTCGAGCTAAAAATAACAGCTCAATAAAAAGGTCTGTCTCTCTGGTACCATCATATTCTGCAGACTGGGGCAGGAGTCTCTGCCACTCCTGCAACCCAGCTCCGTTTCCATGCCAGCAGGCACCCAGGACCCCAATAAACATCCAACGTGCCCCCTCGCTGGGTCGCTCGCTCACTCTGCAACGTGCTGAGGCTAATGATCTGCCTTATTAATCCACTCCTCTCAATGTCTAGCCAGGTATAATCACAGATTTGAAAGGGTTGGTTTGCAGGGCTGGAAGAGGACAGAAGGAGGGAGGAAAGGAGGGAGGGATAGGGGTTAAGGGAGGGCGAGGAGTCCCGGTAAAGATATAAACCCAAGACAGGAAGGGGAAAAAAAAGTCCATCCAGAAGCTTTTCAGAAGTACAAAGCCCCCCTAATCTTGCGGGCTAATTGGTGCCTGCGCTCTGTCAAAGCCATCTGACGGTCCTGAGGAGATTAAACAGCCCCTGCTTTGAGCTCGGCAAGCCTGGGTCTTCACCTCTTTTTTCCTCCCTGTGCCTATCTTCTCTGTTTCTCTGCCACCACCAGCACCGGCTCCTCCCTTCCGCACATACACCAAGGATCAGTGTACCCAGACTGAGCCCCCGACCAAAGGCCATGAGGGAGGTTTAAAATAGAGAGAGACTGAGAGACAGGAGTCAGAGAGGGGAAGAGAATGGCCTTGCTAACTCAAACACAACTCAATTAAACAATACCTCTAATAATTGAATTGTTTGAATTCAATAAGTGCTGAAATCTGGGAACATGGTGGCACAGTATAACAAAGTGTTACAGGGTGATAAATACTGATTGGAATCAAAGATGCAAAATTGTAGAAAACCTTTATCCAAAAAAAGGTCATGTGATGACTTGAATGTGAGAGGGCTCCTTCGTAACATAAAGTGAGCTAAAGCTTTTAAGAATTCTGAAACGCTTCGGAGCGTTTTACAGTCTTTCAGCTCATTGTTTTGGGATTTCCACCACTTTTTTAAAAAACTTAAAATTTGGTCCCTCAGCTCTCAAAAGTTCAACTCTTTATCCTCTTCATCAGCCTTTTAAAATATGACTGTAGGCTACATGGCTAGCAGGGAAAGGCAAGCAAACAATGTCACACAATGAGCTCGTTTACTTATTTTACGTACATTTACTAGGTGGTCACAAAAAGGACTTCAAACAAATGCTAGTACTGAAGTGTGGCACATCAATCAAAAAGAAGCGCCCGATCAATGTATAAGCTGGCAGATGTATTGCCTATCACACAGGATATACATCCTGGTCTGGATTTAGGTCTGGATTTAGGTCTGGAACTGGAGTCCCGGTGCAGACCATAATATGAAAGCTGAAGAGGAGCCAGGTCACTTTCCAAGTACTGCTTGAGCATTTGGCACAAAATTGGTCCTGCGCTACTCTTCAGGTATGATATGTCTTTTTTTTTTTACAAGTATGTAAAGGTATAAAGTTTCCCAAGCATCATAAGATTTCACTAATTTTGCAATTTTCTTATTTATTTATTTAAACATTGAGAGGGTCCTGTCCAGTCCAGTCCTGTGCTCTCTGTGTGATGACTATGACCGAGGAGAACAATGAGAACACTGTGAAACAAAGCCATTTCTCAATCGCTGCAGTCCATGACGTCTGAGAAGCCGCGGATTCAGAGGATGGAAGAGTCTCACCTCTGCCTGAGTCACAGAGCCTAACCTACAGATTGACGACCACAACTGCACAGACAGACAGCTTCATCAGAACGCAAACAAGTCGCAGAAATCTGTTACAACATCACCCACATCTCCTCCTCTGAAGTCAGCGCCAATGCATGTGCTCACTGCACGCTTTTTTGCTGCGGAGGAGTCAAATGTCCCATCGCACAGAGGTGCTATGTTCTCCGGGAGGTGTGCAGACAAGTGGCCCGGCCAGAGGAACCCAAGAAGTAGACCCAGTTGCCATATTTAGACAATAGTTCAGATAGGTAGGCCTTCCTCGCCATTCGAGTCGGGGCGTTCGCATTCCTGCTGCGAATAAAGCTGCTGAAAAATTATCTGATGTTTTTTTTAGCCAAGACAAACGAGCGCATCATGGGAAAAAAGAAGAGATAGACTAAAAAACATCACAAAGAAAAAAAACGTAGAAAAGCTTTTAATCTTACATTCTTGACAGACACCTGGTGAAATACAGCTAAAACAACCGCCTTTAAGCTCAGGATATGTGCAACATGGGATTCTTGCAATACTCAACATTCCTATCAATGAGACGGATGATTGATACTCGGATAAGAGTATGACCTGACTTTCTTTATCCCGGCTCTGGTTCAGTTTTCCCAACACAATACAGAGGAGGGAGAGACCGTGCCAAACAGCTGACAGGAGGCCATGCGTGCCTCGGACCGCGACTGACTGAATGTGTTCAAGACAACATGTGTCATGTGAGCGTGTGTCGCATGCCCCCCCCCCCCTGCATGCCTGCTCTCACGTCTCCCTGGATTAGTAGGGAGGTTCAGGGGGTATAACAAGAGTGACTATAGATGAAACACACACAAACACACCCTTGCAGAACAGCTGAGATCACACTCCAGCGGGCCCCTCGGCCCTCGTCTTGGGTTTATCACATCCATTGCCACGTGCCACATGCTTATGCACCCTTGTTTCCACACATCCTGCAAACACTCACGCACACACATGGACTTGCAAACACCGGCTTGCCCACTGCAAGGCTGTGTCATCGATGAGCAGCATTGCTCGCCTCGCAGCTGTAATAAAGCCGCTCTTGTTTGGAAGAAGATGACTGGAGTCTCCTGAGGTGAATCAGGATTATTACCTTAACGCTTAATCCTCCAAACACTGGCACGCTACATCTGAAGACGCTCCAACACACTTTACAACACTTAGTGCAGCCACTGACACACGCTAAGAGCTTGATTTGCTTTGGTCTAAACAGACGGCTTTACAGAGCACAGCTGATGCTAAAGACATTAAAGCTTGGAACGGTTAAAATGACGTTGGGAGTCGAATGTCTTCAACATGATTTATAATTAAGGACGGAGTTTGTGGCTTTAGAGTAACAGGCTTGCAGTTAAATTTGGCAGAAGCGTCCTCACCACCATCACAATTCTGGCTCCTGGGGACAGTTTTAAATCAGTTTCGACGGCTTGCCACATCTCTGCAGGCTGGAAAATGGGTGGGTAATCAGTCTTTGTCGGTGTATGGAATTATATGACGCAGTGAGAGAAAGGCTGACGATAAAAAAATCCAGATTACAGATCTGACTATGTGATACAAGGCCCATCCATCACAAAAGAGCTGAGAGACAATCTGCCCAGTAATGATCTTTGCACTGACAAGAATATACTGATAACATTCATAGATTGGGAAAGCCAAAACTTCACTGGCAAGGACTTCCTGCCTGTTTATTACCGCCCCCTCTCCAAGAATTCTCCCGGGTTACAGCTTGTCCTGCCAGAGCGCACCTAGAGCTTATGCAACAGCATGCATCCCTGTGTGCACATGAGTGTGTGTGTTTGTTTGCATCAGGTCAGAGCCG